TTGTTAAGTGCCAGCAAATTGGTTATGACTCATAGCAACCGACTCAACGGCACTTAACAACAAAAATGACTGTGTATATTCTCAACAACAAAAAATAAAAATTTAAATTTAAATGATACCAATTTGGTATAAAGAAACTGACAATGACAAGTCAATGTACCAATGTTCTGTGAGCTATCAGATACAAGTAATAATGTTGGCCTCAAATGCTAGACAGATGAGCAGGTGCTGGTCAGATTACAGAACTGCATGTGCAAAAGCCTGGAGAGGAAGAGCTTGATGACTTCCAAGAATTCGAATACTCTAATATTATTGAAAAGAAATGAATTAAGAAGTAGTGAGAACCCAAATTAGGAAGAATTTGAAGACAATAGCACTAAGCACCCTGGGGGGAAATGTGGTCATCGGCTTCCATAAAGTGTTCACCCTTAGAGACCCTAAGGGGCATTTCTATCCTACAGGGTAACTATGAGTTGGAATGCACTTGATGACAACAGGTTTGGTTTGATTTGGCTTAATACTAGGGATATCACCATGAACGATACACATAGGGTCTCCTCCTATGGAGTATACATTCTAATGGGAAAGACAATGCACTATTTCACAAATATTGATTGAAGGCACACTATGCGCAAGGCACAATTCTAGATACTGAGGATGCTACATGAACAGGACAGATAAAAATCCCTGCCCTACACAGTTTATATTCTTGTGTCAGACAATAAATTAGTTTTCAAATAAATACTAAAAACAAAGACGGTAATCAATAGAGCAGCACTGTCCAATAAAAATATCTGCAAAGATGGAAATACCTTTAGTGTCCAAAAGAGTAACCATAGTGTATACGGTGTGGCGCCGTAAGTTCCGAATCATAGTGTCCATGCATAAGGCTTCTGAGGCTAACAGGGACAGAAAGTCTCATCTTTCTCCCATGGAGCCACTGGTAGAGTTGAACTACCGACCTTGCAACTAGCAGCCCAGCTGGTAATCCACTATGCTACCAGGGGAGAAAACTGAAGGAGTGAAATTCTTGAGAAATTGAGAAATGGGATTCACACTACAAAGAAGATGAATTTGCCTTCAAAAGAAGAAGCAATAGTTTTAACTTCACAACAGGAGGAAAGGGAGAATGAAACGTGCAATATTAACAAACAGAAAGATCTGGCAGTGGAACTATAGAAAGTTTGATAGGGATCGAAGAGTGAAGGTATAGAAGTTTAAGAGGGAAAGAAGGTTTGTGAGTTTACTAGAGAAGCTTAACAGGCTTTCAGGGCAATGTAGGGTGTCCATTTGAGGTCTATGATCAGAACGCAAAAAAAACCCTAAAACTAAACTGGGGGGTTTTCATCAGATACATTAATAATGACATTCTTGGTCCTCTCTTGAACTTACTAGGTGTCCTGTCAGTTCCTACTCAGAGTGACCCTACATACAATAGAATGAAACCGCAGTGTTTCAGGTCCAGCACCATCCTCAAAGTTATTCCTGTTTGAGCCCAGTATTGTAGCCACTGTGTCAATCCATTTTACTGAGGATCTTCCTCTTTTGTGCTAACCCTCTCCTTTATCAAGCATGCTGTCCGCCAGAGACTGGTTCCTCCTGATAACCTGTACAAAGAATGTGAAAGAAATCTCACTACTGTCCTTCCTGAGGAGCACTCTGGTTGCACTTCTTCCAAGATAGATTTGTTACGTTATCCAAAAGTATAAATTTTTTGGTCTTACTTTCCATTGTCTAGCTTCCCCACGCATATAAATTGTTTGGAAAGACTAGGGTCAGGCAGTATCTTAGCCCTCAAGGTGAAGTCTTAGCTTTTTAGCACTTTAAAGAGGTCTTTTGCATAAGATTTGCCCAATGCAATGTGTTGTTTTCCTGACTGCACCTTCCACGGATATTGAAAATTGAATGTAGATCCAAGTAAAAAGAAATGCTTGACAATTTCATTATTTTTCATCACGATGTTTCTTAATGGTCCAGTTGTGAAAGAATTGTTTTCTTTAGGTTGAGGTGTAATCCATATTGAAGACCGTTGTCTTTGATTGTTGTTATGTGTCATTGAGTCAGTTCATACTCACAGTGACCCTGTATTTTCCAAAGGTTTCCAAGGCTTTAAATCTTGCAGGAGTGGAAAGCGTCATCTTTCTCCCGAGGAAAGGCTGGCGCGCTGGAACAGCAATGGTAGTCCAGTGCTTATCTTACAGAGCCACTGTGCTCCCATGGTGGTCTTTGACATTCATCAGTAAATGTTTCAAGCCATCTTTACAAGCAAGTTTGTGTTATGTGCATATTGTAAGTTACTAATGAGTCTTTCTCCAATCCTGATGTCTGGTTCTTCTTCGTATAGTCCAGCTTCTCATATTATTTGCTCAGTATATGGATTGAATAAATATGGTGAAAGGACACAATCCTAATGCACACCTCTCCTGATTTTAAGCCATACAGTATCCCCTTGTTCTATTCGAATGGCTGCCTGTGTTGTTGTTAGCTGCCATGGAATCAGTTCTGTGCCAGGGAACAGAAAGCTTCCTCTTTCTCCCGTGGAGAGGCTGGTGGGCTCGAACCGTGGGCCTTGTGGTTCTCAGTCCACTGTTTATTGTATACAGCCACCGCGCTCCCCTATGTTGAACTAGAGTTAGAATAACCCTTTGGGCTTCACTCAGAACTTTCATTCATTCTCGGGATATTTGAGGCTTCATAAAGCACGACGCCTTGCAGTGAGAAAAAGGTGACGGCGGCAGACCATCTCCTCAAATTTCGGTCTTGCAGGCAATTTCGTCCCAGACTGGCCCTAGCGGCTTTCAGCAGTCTCAGGAGAAACCTCCAGGCACCAGGGGGCGCAATAGCGCTCCTCGAGGCCGGAAGAAAGCGAGGCTCAGCGTGACTCCGGCGTTTCCGCTGTGCGTTCTCAGTACTCTGCGCTCTCTTTACGTCCGGAGCCTTGGAGTAGGCGTTTCCGGCCATTCATACTCCTAGTCGGTCGTTCTTCTAGTTTCTGATTTTGTACGCCAGCAGGCCAAGAGAGTGACGGCACCGCTAAGATGAAGCTCGTGAGGTGAGGAGGTGACCAAGTGGTGTAGGGGTTTTGAAGAGGGTCTGGACCGGAGGTGGGAGACAAGGCTTGCCCAGCTGCAGGAGGCGCGAAAGCCGCGTGCGCGCGCGCGGCCTGGTAACGACCGCCGCGCCCGCCTAAGTCTTGGCCTTGCGGGCGGTACTTTGGCCAGGTCCCGCGGCGACCCTTTTAAAAGGTGAAAATAAAGGCAGAGCCATTTTCCCCCACGTAGTGTCTTAATGGTGCTTCGCCAGGTTTATGAGCACTTTCGCTTAGTTAACAATTTTCATTTCGAAGGGAACTCGTGCTCTAGTCTAGGAGCCCTGGTAGCATAGTAGGTTACGCGTTGTGCTGCTCTCTGTGGTTCGAGTCCACTGGGCGCTCCACGGGAGAAAGGTGAGGTGTTCTGCTCCCGCAAAGGATTCCTGGTGTGGCACTGTGGGTTAATGCGCCAGACCGCAAAGCCATTTGAACTACAAGGTCGGCGGTTCAAGCTCACCAGCTGCTTCTTGGAAACCCTGTACAGGGTCGCTAAGGGTCGGAACTGACTCAACGGCACTTCACAACAACAACAAAAGATTTGGAATCTCGGAAACCCTGCACAGGGTCGCTATGAGTCGGAACCGACTACTCGCCACACCCCCACCACCTTAAGGTGGGCTCCTTATCCAAAAATTGTATGCTTTCGATGAGTAATTCTTTCAATGAGTGCGTTTTTCATAACGAAACTCCTTAACGTCAGCTTAAATGAGTAGAAGTAGCATGGGTTTCATGGGAAATAATGAAATCTACTTCCAAAATATTTCAAATGTAGGATCTAAACTTCAGACTATATATGTCAAGAAGTATTGGTACAAAATCATTGTAGTTGTTAAGTGCTGGTTAAGCCGTTTCCTGCCCACAACGACCCTGTATAGCGTTTCCAATGAGCGGCTGATGGGTTTGAACCTTGAGACTAGCAGTAGAGTGCCTACCCTACATAGCCACACAGGAGAACTCTACAAAATCATAAAATACCAAAATGCGAAGCCATTGTTTGTCAACATAACCTCCATCTAGGACTTCTGAAGGCCGTGTTTCCATCTCTAACCCTTCCTCAAAAAATTTTGTCTTCTATTTATGCTATCAAAACGGCCGTTATGGCATCCTGGAGAGACTTAAACCGCCTTCCTTTTAAATGTTCTGAGGGGACAAGATCAGGGTTGTAGGGTGCATGGGGTAGGTTTCCTAATGAAGCGTTTGTATAACAGCCCTCCAATAAGCAGGTGCATTGTTGTGATAGAAAAAATGTCCTTAGCACAATTATCCTGGCTTTTTTTTTCTCACTATGCAGTTTTCAGTTTTCTTAGAACTAATTCATAATAAGCCCCCATGTTAGTCCTGTGTTTTTCTAGTTGATTCCAATTCACAGCGACCCTGTATAGGATTTCTGAGGCTGTAAATCTTGCAGGAGCAGTTGGTGGCAGTCGAGTGCGGATCCTACAGTGCTACTGCCCTTGGAATCCCTAAAAAACCATCACCGTAACCTGAGCTTAGAAAGCAGCAGATCCCTTAGAAAGCCACTGTTTTGATTGGGCCTTTTTAAAAAAAACTTTTATTGTGAGTTGAATGAAGGTTTATAGAACACATCAGTTTTACATTCAACAAATCATACACTTTGTTTCATTTCAGTGATTGCAGTACTCTCAGCATATGTCTCACTTCCTTCTTAAACTTCTTGTTTCCATTCCTTTTCCCACCCTTTTGAATTTTGTTCTTAGGCACATGCTGTCTCTTTGATCTAATGTTTTACCATTCTGTAGTGCCTCACTAAGGTTGTTGTCTCCTCTGTGTACCTATCTACTGTTGGCTGATAATTGAGCCAAGGAGTGAGTTCAGTTCCAGACCTGAAGGGTAACCAAGGCCCATCATCTTGTGGCTCCACCAGTTTCTCTAACCAGTAAAGCTAGCCTTTTTTTTTTTTAAATGATTTTGAGTTTTGTTCCACATTTTCTTGCACTCTAACCAAGAGCTTCTAATATGATCCCTTTCAGAGCATTTGGTAGTGGTAGCAGGGCTCCATTTAGTTTTTCTGGTCTCAAGGTTGAGGAGACTGATGTTCATTTGGTTCATTAGTCCCCTGGACGAATTGTTATCCAAGTATCTTCAATTTTCATCACTCTTCTTTCTTCTGGGCAGGGAAAGACCAATAGTTGTACCTTTGATGGCTGCTTATTGGCTTTTAAGATCCCAGTCACTAACCAAAGTTGTTAAGTGTTGAGTTGGTTCCAACCCATAGCAACTCTGTATAGTATTTCCAGAGCTGCTGATGAGTTTGAACTACTGACCTTGCTGTCCAGTACATTATTATGGGCCCTTTGTTTTTAAAGGTACCCTAAAGGAGACTAAGACCAAATGTATTACTGAAAGAACTTGTCTGGACCCATCCGTTGATCATATGTTGTTGTTGTTGTTGAGTGCCATAGAGTCGGTTCCGACCCATAGTGACCCTGTACAGGGTTTCCGAGGCTATAAATCTTTATGGGAGCAGAAAGCCTCATCTTTCTCCCGTGGAGCAGCTGGTAGTTTCGAACTGCTGACCTTAAGGTTCACAGCCCGATTCGTAACCAACATCATCTTGTTGGGAATAAACCACGCATATTAGAACCCTAGTAGCAATACCTTTTTGCTTGCATGCATGTATGTGCAGTTCAGTTTTTGACATTCCTTATACAGTTGCTGTGAGTCAGGATAGACTTGATGGCTTGTGGGGTTTAGTGAGTTAGACCTATTCAGCCTACATTTTTCTTAAGGTAGATTACAAGGACTTTTTCTTCAACATTTTATTGTGTTTAGGTGAAAGTTTGCATAGAAAACTTCAGTCACTAATTCATAAACATTGTTTCCTGACATTGGTTGCAATCCTCACAGTGTGCCCCACTCTCTCTTTTTCCCACTGTGTTCCACAGTTCCATTTGCCTGGTTTCCCTGGCTCTCCCTTCTTTGGTTTGGGACAAATGTTACCTTTTTGGTCTGGTATAGTTGATTGTTCTAAAGAGAACATTCTCTAAGGTGCTATTTATTTTATAAGGCCCCTGTATTTGGATGAAAGGCGGCTTCCAGTAGTACGTTCAGTTTCATATTAAAAGATTGTCTTTTTAAATGTAAATTTTGTTCTATATTCTTTACCCATTCTTACCGGAACCTTTTATTGTGGTCCTGGGCAGAATGGTTAATAGTGGTGGCTGGGTACCACTATTAGATCTTCTGGTCTCAGGCTGTTGTTGTTAAGTACCGTGGAGTCGGTTCCCACTCATAGTGACCCTGCACAGGGTTTACGAGGCTGCAAATCTTTATGGAAGCAGAAAGCCTCATCTTTCTCCTGTGGAACAGCTGGTAGTTTCGAACTGCCTACTTTTGAGGTTAGCAGCCTGACTTGTAACCACTATGGTGCCAGAGCTCCTTTAGAGCAGGCCTTGTTCGTGTGGACCATTAGTCCTTTTAAGTAATTGCTTCCTTGAATCTAATCATTCTTGTTTGCCCCAGACAAGAAGAAACGAATAGCTGCTTCTTAAGATGGTCACTCAGCAATCTTTAGGACCTCAGACAATTATCTTTTTGAACTGTGTTAGGTCATTTGACCTAAATGTTCTCTGAGATACAATCCTAAGCCTTCAAAGTCCAGTAGTTCAATCCCAATGTTTTGTTTTTTTTTTTAACATGGTTTCTATAACTGTACTTTCTGTGTTCTATTATATGAGGCAGCTTCAAAAAGTTCATGGAAAAATGGAGTTAAAAGATACTGGCATTTTTCCATGAACTTTTGAAACTCACTTGTATATAGAAGTATATTGTTAAGTGCCACCGAGTTGGTTCCAACCCGCAGTGACCCTGTATAGAGTTTCTGAGGAGCGGCTGGTGAGCTTGAACCGCTGACCTTGTGGTTCAAATCAACTTTGCAGTGCCACACCCATAGTGCCACACCAGGACTCCTGTAGAAGTATGCCTGCAGCATTTACAGATATGTATGGAGATACACCCACTACCCACTACCTTATGCATGTGGAAATAACTCTCCTGCAACTATCATCACTATTTAGCATACCTATTTAACTGTGTTGTTACTGTTAAGTGCCAACTCATAGCGACCCTGTATAGGGTTTCCAAGAAGCATTAATGGGTTTTAACTGCCAACCTGTGGTTCCCAGTTCAGTGCTGATCCTATAGCACCACACCAGGAAATGCTATTTACCTTTGTATCTCCTCACAAATTGTTATTGTAGGATTGTACACATTACAGCATTTATCATGTTTGTTGCTAAGTGCTGGGGGGTCGGCTTTGACTCAGTGAACCTGGTCACTGTGTTTCTGAGGATTTAAATGTTTTGCAGGATCAAAAAGCTTCATCTTCCTCCCAGAGTGACTGATGTGCTCAGACTACCAACCTTGTAGTTCACAGCCCAGTGCTTATCCTGTGCAACCACCCTATATTTTTATACATTCTCAGTGTCTTCCTCTGCTTTAGTTACCCTGTGCTGTCTGCCCTCACATTGTGTATTGCCTTTCCCTTCACCATAATGAACTGTCTTATCTGGTTTGTTGTTGTTAAGTGCCTTTGAGTCAGTTCTGGCCTATGGCAACTCAGGGAGCCGCTGGTGAAATTGAACCACCTAAGGAGCTCTGGTAGCATAGTGGTTATGAATCGGGCTACTAACCTCAAGGTCAGCAGTTTAAAACTACCAGCGGTTCCACCGGAGAAAGATGAGGCATTCTGCTCCCATAAAGATTTGCAGCCTCAGAAACCCTGTGCAGGGTCACCATGAGTCGGAACTGACTCCACGGTACTTAACAACAACCTTGCGGTTCAAATCAGCTTTGCAGTCCAGCGCATTAACCGACAGCGCCACATGAGGACTCTGCCTCTCTAGTTGTTGTTAAGTGCCATCAAGTCAGTTCTGTCCCATAGCGACCCTATATGGGTTTCTGAGGAGTGATTAGTGAGCTTGAACTGCCGTCCTTGCAGT